GCTCAGGGACAGCACCCAGTCCCTGAGTTCAAGCCCCCATGACCACCAACAACAACCAGAAAAAAAAAAAAAAAGAGGGAGGGAGAAAAGAAGGAAGGCAGGGAGGGAGGGAAGGAAGGAGGGAAGAAGGGGGAACTAAGAGACTTTGTCATTACTCCACCACGTGGTTTTCAAGCCTGGCTGTTTCTGGTAAAGCCAGAAGGCCCTAAATGTTTTGGAGTAAACCACATGGAAAAGAAGAAAATACCAGAGGCCAACGATCCTGGCACAGCCAGCAGCTGCCAGGAGTAGTGTGAACAGCCAAGGTTGGGCCATACACGCACAGCCATGTCTGCTGTGGGGTGATAAAGTGTGGGGCTCCAAATCCTGTTGGCAAGCTGCCTAGTCACAAGGCTAAGAACACTCTGGTGACCAGAAGAACTGCCGCCCATGATGAGCAAGCCCATCTCGGGACAGTGTTGGTTCTCACGTTATTGGACCTGTTTGTTGTATGCCTGTATTACAAAGTTCTCAAATTTGAATTTTGCAGTCTTTCCAAGGTTTGGACTAAAAGAAGACGGGGAAAAAAGGCCTTGCCTCAAGTTAAATGTCTGGAAATAACTGCTCTGAGCATTCTTGCATTTCCTGCCTCACATGACCATGACTCTAGAATCACAAGGTTTTACCTCTCTGTGTATGTGTCTGTGTCTCTGTGTATGTGTCTCTCTGACTCTGTATCTCTGTCTGTCTGTCTCTGTCTCTGTCCTGGAGCTTGAATTCAAGATCTGGGTGCTGTCCCTGAGCTTTAAAAAGAAAATAAAACTCAAGGCTGGCACTGTTAGGATCCTTCACAACCCAGTAGATCATGTGGAGGCAGGTTGGCCCAGAAGAAAGATTATTATAAGGTTTATTAGAGGGACCATATCTCCCCAGGAGAGGGAGCAATAAGGCATCTGCTCCCATCCAGGTGGGTAGCTCAGGGGCAAGTTGCATGCTGAGGTAGGTCTGGGCAGAGAAAGGGAGTGGCCAGCTATCTGGTGGGGGAACTCTAGGGCAGGGAGGAGCTCAGGTCTGCAAAGAGCTGTGGTCTGGAGGTGGGGGATAATGCTATCAAGCACTCTACCACCTGAGTCACACCACTTTCACTTTCAGCGTTTTGGTGGTTAATTTGATAGGAGTCTCACGGACTTTCCTGGCTGGGCTGTTTTGGGTCTCAATCTTCAATCCTCAGATCTCAGCCTTCTGAGTAGCTAGGATGATAGGTGTGAACGACCCATACCCAGCTTATCCTTTTTTTTTTTTTTTTCTGGTCCTGGGACTTGAACTCAGGGCCTAGGCACTGTTCTTGAGCCTCTCTGTGCTCAAGACAAGTGCTCTACCACTTGAGCCACAGCACTACTTCAAGCCTTTTCTGTTTATGTGGTACTGAGGAATCGAACCAGGGCTTCATGCATGCTAGGCAAGCACTCTAACACTAAGCCACATTCCCAGCCCCCTTATCCTCATCTTTATACATTATATTTCCTAAATAGAAGACTAGCAAGAGCTAGTTTTAGGCAAGTGCTCTACCTCTGAGCCACCTTCCCAGCCCAAGTGCTAGTTTTAATAGCCTAAGCTAGGCACCGGTGGCTCATACCTGTAATACCGGCTATTCAGGAGGCTGAGATTTGAGGATTATGGTTTGAAACCAGCCCAGACAGATGAATCTTAGAGATCCTTATCTCCAGTTAACCAGCAAAAAAAAAAAAAAAAAATCCAGCCGGGCGCTGGTGGCTCACGCCTGTAATCCTAGCTACTCAGGAGGCTGAGATCTGAGGATCGCAGTTCAAAGCCAGCCCGGGCAGGAGAGACCGTGAGACTCTTATCTCCAATAAACCACCAGAAAACCGGAAGTGGCGCTGTGGCTCAAGTGGTAGAGCGCTCGCCTTGAGCTGAAGACTGAGGGACAAGCGCCCAGGTCCAGAGTTCAAGCCCCACGGCCGACAAAAAAAAAAAAAAAAAAAAAAATCCAGAAATGGAAGTGTGGCTCAAGTGGCAGAGTGTCAGCCTTGAGTGAAAAAGCCAAGTGAGAGTGCAAGGCCCTGAGTTCAAGTCCCAGTATTGGAAAGGAAGAAAGGGGGGCAGGGAATGGAGGAAGGGACAGAGGGGGAAGGGAGAAGGGAAGGAAGGAAAGAAGGAAGGAAGGAAGGAAGGAAGGAAGGAAGGAAGGAAGGAAGGACTGATTCCATGTCATAAGTAGCTATCCCCAAATATTGAAGTCAGGAGTCAAGTATTCATGCTCACAGATGCACAATTCCCAACAGGCAAAAGGTGGGAAAAGGTACAGGTATCCATGAAGAGATGAGTGGATGTTCCATCCACACTCTGGAACATCACTCAGCCACGAACAGTAAGGAAATTCTAATAGGTAAGGAGTGCAGCTCAGTGAGTGGTAGAGCACTTTCCTGGAATGCACAAGACTCTGTTCATATGCAGCACCACAAAACCAAGCAACATCAAAGAAAAAAATCAACAGATCAGAGGAAATTTCCAACTCTATTATAATCTCAAGGGACCACCATCTAGCCACTGCTCACTGTTGACAAAAATACTAGTACATCCCATGGCTACATGGCTCTTTGAGTGTGGTGCTGTGGGACAAAGCAAGCACTTATCGATCATGAAAAACCCTGAGTTTATCCCCAACATAATAAAAAGAGCAAAATAAGTTAGAGGCAGGAGCCACTAGTTTATGACTGTAATCCTTGTTACTCAGGAGGCTGAAATCTGAGGTTCTTCATTCAAAGATAGCCTGGGGAGGAAAGTCCATGAGACTTTTATCTTCAATTAACCACCAAAGATCCAGAAATAGAGCCGTGGCTCAAGTGGTAGAGTGCTAGCCTGGGAGCACAAAAACTCAAGGACAGTGCCCAACAGGTTTCAAGCCCCAGAATCAACACACACACACACAATTAGTAGGCCATTATACCCGTAATCCAAGATATTTGGGGGAAGTAGGAGATTAGGGAGGATTTAGCCAGGTGCTGGTGGCTCACGCCTATAATCCTAGCTATTCAGGAGGCTGAGATTTGAGGATCCCGGTTCAAAGCCAGCCTAGGCAGCAAAGGCCATGAGACTTATCCCCAATAAAACCACTAGAAGGGCTGGGAAGGTGGCTCAGTGGTACAGCGCTTGCCTTGCATGCCTGAGGCCCTGGGTTCGATTCCTCAGCACCACATAAGCCAAAAGAAAAAAGCCGGAAGTGGCGCTGTGGCTCAAGTGGTAGAGCGCTAGCCTTGAGCTGAAGAGCTGAGGGACAGCGCCCAGGCCCAGAGTTCAGGCCCCACGACTGGACCCAAAAAAAAAAAAAAAAAAAAAGCTAAAACCACTAGAATACTGGCACACACACACACACACACACACACAGCTAAAGGTTTGCTAGTCAAATCACAAAGAGAAGAAACTCCTGTGGTACTGCATTACCAGGCTCAGAGGCAGTGTCCCTTTAGTAGCCTGCCCAATGGACAAGGGGAAGAAGGGGTCACTCCTTGGTCAGTTCCCTGTCCTGCTCCAGTTGTAGGGGAGAGTGACCCCCTGCCAACCCCTCCCCCTGGCTCCACCAGCTCTCACTGATTGGTCCCCCAGCTGGGCCCAGCCACCTGTTGCTGTCTGTCTCAAGCTACCCTCCCATTCTCCATCCTGCTCGCCAGGCCTAGCGCGGAGGCTGAGGGGTAAGAGGGGCTGGAAAAGACCTAGGTGGAGGTTGGGTGCCCAGGGTCTTGGGGAGGGTATCTTCAGGGTCCACAATGGTCCCCAACTCCTGTGGCTGACAACCCCCTTCACCTAGAGGCCCAGATTCCTATCTCCCTGTATGTTGATCCCCTCCCCCACTTACCCCTCTATGGTTTTAGAAACCTAGGGAAGGGTGGTCTTTTCTCTCAAGGATGGGGACACATTAATGCTAGCAGCTAGAGACCATGGGGTCCCTAAAAAAGCAAAAAGAAAGGCTTTGGGTCTGTCTGACTTTCAACTTGGCAAGAACTCTGGCCAATGACAGGATCTCCAGCCTCAGTTTCCCTAGATTCCCTGTGGGAACAGGAGTGGTGAGAGGAGCAGGAAACCTAGTATTGGGATGGGAAGAGTCTAAGACCCCCCTCCCCTGTCAATCCCTATAGCCAGGCCCAAGCTTGTGGTTGCTGCTGTGATTGGCCCCCAGCTTCATGGAGTTACCTGGCCGGGGAAAGGGCAGGGGGTTAGTACTAGGAATAATGGGTAAGGATGGTCTGGAGGGAGACCTCCATGGGAGCTAAGACCAGGGAGGGGCTAGGCCACAGCCTATTCTGTTCTGCTGGCCTTGGACACCAGATAAAAATAGTCCCTGGTCTCAGAGAACATGAGCTGGCCCTAGTGCCTGGGGCTCTGATGGGGGCTGTGTGTCTCTGACTCATTGCTGTGTGACCTTGGGTGGGTTCCAGGCCACTCTGAGCCCCAACAGCCTTCACTGCTGCATTTAGAGTTGTTACAGAGGATGGGCTATAGGGAAGGGACTTTGGCAGGCATTGGGGGAGGTAGGAGGGAGCCCTCATAGGCCCTGAGGTCATGCAAGACTGAATATGAAGGCCACTGGACAGAGAGACCAGTGGAAGCTTCTAGGCTGCTTGATTGCTGCCTAGAGCCTCAGGGTCACACCCAAGTATGACAGAGCAAGAATCCCTTTTTGGCCAGTCACCGATGGCTCATGCCTATAATCTCAGCCACTCAGGAGGCTGAGATCCGAAGATTTGGTTTGAAGCCAGCCTGGGCAGGCAAGAAAGTCCATAAGACTCATCTGCAATTAACCATCAAAAAAAGCCATAAGTAGAGCTGTGGCTCAAGTAGTAGAGCACCAGCCTTGAGTGAAAGAACTAAGGGACAGTGACAGGCTCTGAGTTCAAGCCCTAGTACTAACACACACACACACACACACACACACACACACACAAAGAATTCATTTTTACATACTCTCCCAGCCACATTCTGGATCCATTACTGCTTCAGTCTCCATGACAACCAGAGCTTCAGAGGACTTGGATGGAGGACTGGGTAGCTGCCTGGTCAGCGACAACCTCTCTGCGCTATTGGAGCCTTGCTCAGGCCGGCTGCGGGAAAACAAGGCTCAAGGTACCTTGACCATCATGTTGAGCCGTATGGCTTAGCCCCAGAGACTAGTCCCACATTGGACTAGCTAAACTGTTCTTGGTGTCCAGTTCAGGGCCCATCAGTGGTCTGTCAATAGCCCGGGTGCTGGCTACCGCTCAAGTGCTGTTTGTCTTTGGGCAAAGCTGTCTCTGAGCTCCATCTCCTTTCTCATCATTTATTTTTTTTTTCTATTATCTTCATTTCTCTTGTTATTGCATATGCAGAGGTTTTATTTATTTATTTAGTTATTTTTTGTGTACTGGTCCTGGGGTTTGAACTCAGGGTTGAGCTTTGTCCCTGAGCTTTTTAGCTTTTTTGCTCAAAGCTATCACTTCTAACTTTTTGGTAATTAATTAGAGATCATAATCTTACAGACTTTCCTGCTGGGGTTGGCTTTTTGTTGTTGGTGGTGGTGGTCATGGGGCTTGAACTCTAGACCTGGGCATTGTCCCTCAGCTCTTCAGCTCAAGATGAGCACCCTACCACTTGAGCCACAGCTCCACTTCTAGTTTTCTGGTGTTTTACTAGAGATAAGAGTCTCATGGACTTTCCTGCTCAGGCTGGCTTTGAATTGTGATCCTCAGATCTCAGCCACCTGGCTAGCTAGGATTACAGGAATGAGCCACCAACACCCAGCTTCCTTTCTCATAACCTACCAAGCCAGGTGCTGATGACTCATAGGTGTGATTAGCCTAGCTACTTAGGAGGCTGAGATCGAAGACTGAGATTTGAAGCCAGCCCTGCGGTGGGAAGTCTGTGAGACTCTTTAAAAAGCTGGAAGTTGAAGCTGGGCGCTGGTGGCTCACGCCTGTAATCCTAGCTACTCAGGAGGCTGAGATCTGAGGATCGCGGTTCAAAGCCAGCCCGGGCAGGAAAGACCATGAGACTCCTATCTCCAATAAACCACCAAAAAACCGGAAGTGGCGCTGTAGCTCAAAAGGTAGAGCGCTCGCCTTGAGCTGAAGAGCTGAGGGACAGCGCCCAGGCCCAGAGTTCAAGCCCCACGACCAACAAAAAAAAAAAAGCTGGAAGTCAAGGTGTGGCTTAAGTGGTAGAGTGCCAGCCTTGGGTGAAAAAGCTAAGGGGCAGTGTCCATACCCTGAGTTCAAGCCCCAGAACTAGCACCATTAAAAAACTAACAAAATAAATTAAGCAAGCACAGGCAGTGTGGCAAGGCAAGGTGGAACTGGGCTGGGCATCCCACATCCTTTTTAGTTTTGGTGCCAGTCCTGGGGCTTGAACTCAGGGCCTGGGTACTGTCCTTGAGCTGCTTTTGCTCAAGGCTAGCACTCTACCATTTGAGCTACAGCGCCACTTCTGGCTTTTTCTGTATATGTGGTATTGAGGATTGAACCCAGGGCTTCATGTCTGCTAGGCAAGCACTCTCCTCCTAAGCCACATTCCCAGCCCTGGTTAATCTTCAGTAAGGGTCTTATGGACTTTTCAGCCCAAATGGCTTCAAACCTGGATCCTCAGATCTCAGCCTCCTGAATAGCTAGGATTAGTGGTGTGAGCTGTGGATACCTGCCATCATCTCATAATCATGATTCTGTCTCTTTTCTCACCAATAGCCTCAGCCAGGCTGGCAGCCTCCAGCAACTGGCCCCATGTGAGTAGCTGGGATTCTTGGTGTTGGGGAGGAAGGTTAGCCAAGAAGGGAAGGGGCATTCTGCACCCCAAAGGAAGGGCTGGATTGGTTCAGAACAAAGACCCTTCAGAATGTCTCTGGATTCCCTATAGGACCCTCAGGAGCTGGTTGCTGCTGGTGATGTGGATGCCAGGCCCAAAAAGATGGAAAAGGAATCTGTAGCTGGTGGGAGCCGAGGATCAGGAAAGGAGATGATGAAAGCTGGAGCGAGTGAGTTTATAGCCGGCATGAGTGAGGTAGGGGTGAGCCAGGACTGGTATGGAGAGCAGCCTGGGGTTGGGTCCTCAAATTTGAGGGACTTAGAGGCAAGGTGGAGGAGGATTCTGGCTAACTCCAGATGTAACATACAGTGACTACTGTGTACACCAACCATCATGCCACACTTGGGGGCATTTCCTGATGCTATACCCAAGCATTGTTCATTGGGACCCAGGTACAGCCATATGTGGCCAACAGCTGTAATGTGTTTTTTTCTTTTCTTTTCTTTTGTTCTTGCCAGTCTGGGGCTTGAACTCAGGGCCTGGGCACTGTCCCCAAGCTTCATTTGCTCAAGGCTAGCACTCTACCACTTGAGCCACAGCACCACTTCCAGCCTTTTCTGTTTATGCGGTACTGAGGAATTGAACTCAGGGCTTCATGTGTACTAGGCAGACACTCTACCACTAAGCCACCTTTCCAGCCCAAGGTGCAATGTTGCAGGTCACCTGTTGCCCCCTGCACTTGGGAAGCCAGCACTTTGGGGACCAGTGAGTAGTTCACACTTGCCTTGCAGCTCCCCGCAGTGGCCCCACACGCAAGAAATCACAGACTGCGCCACCCTTGCAGCCACCACCGCCACCACCACCAGCCCTGAGCACGGAACTACCCTGGGGAGATCTGTCACTCAACAAGATCCTGGTACTAGCCTCACTGGTGGCTCTGTTGGGCTCAGCTTTCCAACTGTGCCGAGGTGAGCCTGGCCTCTCCCAGAGATGGGGTGGGGTTAGGCCTGTGTGTCCACTGCTCCAGGAAAGGTCCTTAGATACACTATGGGTGGGGGGGGGCGGTGTCTGTGCGCCTTCTCTCCAAGGACTGAGTCCTGCACATACTGACCTGAGGCCACCCACACCTTTCCCTTTCCTTAAACCTTACATGCCCCCCTCTCCATCCTAAACCTTTCACTGGGGACCTGTGAATAGGCTGTAATCATTTACCATTTGGGGGGCCTCATTCACCCCCAAGGTCAATTCTGGGCTTTCTTGGTACGTTGCATGGGTCTCTATTGCTTTCAGCATGGACTTGTGCCTCCCCTTTATCCCAGCACGGGCCTTATGAACAGCCCCCAATCCCCTTCCTTTGTAGTGTATGGAATTCCCGGTGCTGCTTTCCTCCTCCTCCTCCTCTTCCTCTTCCTCCTTTTCCTTCCCACCTCCTCCTCCTTCTCTCGCTCTTCCTCCTCCCCTCCTTCCATCTCTTCCTCCTTCCTCCTTTTCCTTTTTCCCTCCTCCCTCCTCCTCATCCTTTTTCTTTTCTTTTTTTTTTTTGGCTTCTACTCAGAGCCTAGGTGCTTCTAGATTTTGAGTGAATAATTGGAGATGAGTCTCAGAAACTTTTCCTACCCAGGCTGGTTTTTATCCTCAGATCTCAGTCTCTTGCGTAGCTAGGATTACAAGTGTGAGCCACCCAGGCTCTCCAAAGGATCCAGAACAAAGGCTTTTTATCTAGGAAACAATGAGGCCCAGAGGGGAGAGGGGCTTTCTCCACTAGGGATCCAGAGAAGGTGTCAGTGATCACTTTGGGGAGGGGTTTGGCAGGGGGCGGAGGCTGCTTCATCTGTCCCCTGGGAGGAGAGCCTAACTGGGGGGGGGGGAGGGGAGAGAGAGAGAGAGAGAGAGAGAGAGAGAGAGAGAGAGAGAGAGAGGGACAGAGAAGGAAGGAGGGAGGGAGAGAGGGAGGTAGGGAGGGAGAGAGGGAGGGAGGGAGGGAGAGAGGCAGGAAGGGAGGGAGAGCGCTCGCGCAAGCGCTGGTGAGGTCTGCCCCTCCCCCAGGCTAACCCACTTTCCCACCCTGCTCCTCAGATGCTGTGGTTGGGGAAGCTGCTGTTCCCACACCTGCCCAGGAGCCATGGGTCCCACCCAGCTCACCACCCAAAAAGCCAGTGTTGCCACAAGTAAGCACTTCCTTTCTCTGACTGGGGGCTGCAGTGGGGCGCTCATACAGCGGGAATGAAACCAGGCTCTCAAGGAGGTGGGTCCTGACCCCAGTCCCCCCACACTATCCCTGTTGCAGCCTAAGCCTGCAGCTCGGGCCCTGCCATCAGAACCACCTGCACCCAAATCGGTGCCCCTCGTGCCCCAGGTGGAGGTAGAGGACAAACCCGAGGTTCCCCAGGCTGCAGAGATCACTGAGGAGGAGCAAACTTCCCTCGGCCACCAAGAGCCGCTAAAGGAGGAGAAGCCGAAAAAGGAAGAGCAACTCAGGAAGAAGAAGCTACGGAAGGAGGAGAAACTACGGAAGGAGGAGAAGCCACGAAAAGAGAAGCCTCGAAAGGAAGAGAGGCCACGAAAAGAGATGCTGTGGAAGGAAGAGAGGCCACGAGCCTCCAGAGAATCCCGGGAAGCCCTGCCCCAGAGTTGGGAAGCAAGGGAAAGGGGACATCGGCCATGGACTAGGGACTCCAGGGACCCCAGAGACTCCAGTCACAGGAAGAGACACACCGGGGCCTCCCCACACCACCGACAAGAGGAAGAGCAGCAGAAGCCCCGCAAGGGTAAGGGGCGGGGCTGAGCCTGGGTCCCAAGCCTGAATCCCAGAACCCCGCTGTGGCTGCCACAAATACATTTTATGATGCCTACAAATTTTATTTTGCTCCAGCAAAATAAAGTAAGTGTTGACAAATACTGTGTTGCTAACCTTTTTTTTTTTCCTTCCAGTCCTGAGCCTGAATGCTTTGCCAGTCCTGGGCTTAGATGCTGTGCCTGAGTTGTTTTTTTTTTTTTTTTGCTAAAGGCTAGTGTCTACCACTTGAGCTCCACTTGCAGCTTTTTGGTGGTTATTTGGAGATAAGAGTCTCACAGAGGGCTGGGAAGGTGGCTCAGTGGTAGAGTGCTTGCCTTGCATGCATGAGGCCCTGGGTTCGATTCCTCAGCACCACATACGCAGAAGAAGCTGGAAGTGGTGATATGGCTCAAGTGGTAGAGCGCTAGCCTTGAGCTGAAGAGCTGAGGGACAGCGCCCAGGCCCAGAGTTCAGGCCCCACAACCTACAATAAATAAATAAATAAAATAAAAACTTTAAAAAGAAAAAAAAAAGAGTCTCACAGAGCCAGCCAGGTGTGGGTGGCTTACACCTGTAATTCTAGCTACTCAGGATCTGAGATCTGAGGATCACAATTCAAATTGAGCCCAGGCAGAAAAGTCCCCATAAGACTTTTTTTTTTTGGTTGTGGGGCTTGAACTCTGGGCCTGAGTGCTGTCCTTGAGCTCTTCAGTTCAAGGCGAGGGTCCTACTGCTTGAGCCACAGGGCCACTTCCGGTTTTTCTGTTGATTAATTGGAGATAAGTCTCATGGATTTTCCTGCCCAGGCTGACGTTGAACCTGTATCCTCAGATCTCAGCCTCCTAGTAGCTAGGATTACAGGTGTGAGTCACCAGTGACAGGTTCCCATAAGACTCTTATCTCCAATTAACTCCTCAAAAGCCGAAGTGGCACTGTGGCTCAAAGTGGTAGAGAGCTAGCTTTGAGCAAAAGAACTCAGGGACAGAGCCCAGGCTGAGTTCAAACCCCACAAATGACAAGGAAAAAAAGTTTCACAGACTTTTTCTGCCTGAGTTGGCTTTGAACCAGTATCCTCAAATCTCAGCCTTCGGAATAGCTAGGATTGCAGGCGTGAGCTACTGACAGACACCTACCTGGCTAGCTAACTCCTCTATGCCTGAACACAAGGCTTGAATGATGAGGATGGAAAGCTACTGGCTAGGAAAACTGTCAGCAAGCACCTAGAGCAGTGATGGAGCTCTACCCTGGAGAAGACAGAAGGCAAAAAGGCTCCCATACAAGCACAGACAACCCAGCGGAGTGCTTGCTGGTCTTTATTGGGGTGATGCTTAGAGTCTGAATAAATATATGAGAAGGGTATTCATTGGCTGGGGCATGCCTGGCTTCCCCGTGGGCACAGAAGTCTGCGGGGTTCGAGGGTTACCGGCAGCCACACTCGGTGGCCACCATGTTGGGCACATGGTGCGCACTGATGCGCTCCTCGGATAGGCTGATGAGGAGCTTGCCCGCATAGGCAGTGGGCACGCAGCAGGGCGGGCGTGCCAAGGAAGCCCCGCGGGCCTGCATCTTCAACAGCAGCACTACGTGGTTTCCATAGTGCGGATTTCGGTCGGACTGCGGCCAGCCGCACGTACCCTGGCAGTTGTTGGCCTGATAGGTTTCCGGGATGAGCACGGAGCGCTCCGCTCGGAGGTCCACACTCAGTTCCCGCAAAGAGCAGGGCCCCTCGCTGACAGCCCTGGCTGGGGCTCCAGCGCTCCGCTGCGCTCGCCCCGCCCTACGCTGATCGCGCCTGCGCCACTCCGTGCGCAAGCCTTGCAGCGCCTTCAACAGTAACAACGCACGCAGGGGGTCCCCGGGGCTGTCGGGATCGCGGGATTGGCCAGGATCACCGGGGCACAGCGTGAGCAAGCGCGCCAGCAGTGGAGGTGCAGCTGGAGGCAGCCCAGGGAGGCCCCGCAGCTCAGCGGCTGCCGCCTGTAGCTCTACAGCCACCCGGCGTGCCAGACCTGAGGTCCAGGGCGCCGATGTGGGGCCACGAAGCGGCTCAGGATCCCCGGTAGTGGCTGCAGCTTGCGGGAGCAGCACCAGCAGCGGTTCCTCCCTGTTGAGCAGGCGTTCCAGCGCTGCAGGGTCCGATAGGTTGACCAAGCCCTGCGGGAAGCTGGCTAACACTGCTGGGTCCAGAGCCAGGCGGGGTGGCCAGGCCTGGGCCGAGGATCCCCGTAGCGCGCGCACCAGGCGCGTGAGCGTCTCCAGGAAGGGGTCGCTGCTGAGCGGCAGTTCCTCTGACTGGGAGAAAAGCCTGGAACAGCAGTAGTGGGTATCGTGAGGGGAAGAAGCTGTGCTGATCTCCAGCCCCCATCTCCTTTGCTCATATTCCGGGGCTGCGCGCACCTGGGCTGTGGAAAGGGCATGATGTCCAGCTGGCGGTGCGCGGGCAGCAGGGCAGGCCCAGACATCAAGATCAGGGCTGGGGTCATCCTTGTGAAACAGCGGATGTCGGAGCCAAACAGCAGGGTCTGCAGCTGGGCAGTGCTCAGGGAGACATCTGTGGAGGGTGGCACAGGGTTGGCTCAGGAACAGTAAGCTGCAAGCAAGCCACCTGCTGCCCAGTCCCTTCCCTTTCCACACAGGCATACCGTCTCCACGGGTTCGAAGGCTCAGGGTGAGCCCAGGGCCATGCCAGGCCCCTGCCGGGTGGTTCACAGCCAATACCAGATAGCGTGTGTCTTGGGTGGGGCAGAAGCTCTGTGGAAATGGTGACTCAGCCAGGCTGCATGAGGATGGTCATGCCCACCCCAGCTTCCCACCCCTTCAAAATTCTACACTTGGAGCCTTTTCACTAAGTGCAGACCTTAGGAAAAGCCTAACGCCTCTCCCCTGCACAGAGGACTCCTAGCAGCCCAGGCAACTCCCAAGTACCTGAATGCCCTGCAGCCCAGTCCCAGTGACAGTGACCTCGGGACCAGGCCCAGGATACAGCACCAGCAGTGCTTGCTCCATGGGGCTAGCTTCTCCAAGTGGGGGCTCCTGGAATCTCAGTGACAACGTGGGCTCCCAGGTCACTGCAGCCAGGACAAGGGGACAACATAAGCCAGTGGCCAGTAACTCCCCAAGCCCATCCTGAAGGGAGAGCCCCTCCCCAGCTGGAGCATTCCAGAGCCCAGTGCGGCTAAAGCTGTCTGATCCTGCTGTTCTGGACCAAGGAGGATACCTTACCTGAAGGGACAGAGTCCCATCTATGCCACCCTCTTGTGGCCAGAAAATGTGAGCTTCGTGGTGGTAATGGCTGACAGTAGCAGGATGGGGATTGCCCTCTTTACCCTTAGGTTGATTGGCTCTGGAGTTCCAGGCCCATTCCTTCCTATTTTGTGGGCCTGCTAGTCTGGTTCCTGGCTGCTTCTATAGGAGCCAGGGACTTCCAGTTCCCAGACACAGCAGAGATAACTTGCTGTTTCCTTGGCAGAGACCCACAGCCCAGTTGCTGGGTCTGGCCTTGGAACCACAGGTGGCATTGGGCTTTGGTGGAGGCTCCACAGCACTCCATCTTACTTGGGAGGATCCTTCTTTTAATGTGAGTGGTGCTGAGTGAATGGAGCCACTGGGCCTTTCACGTACCTTCAGCCAGGTGCAGGATCAGCAATCGCTGCCCTCTAGGGTCCCCCAGCCAGGACCCCAGGTGCTGTAGGACAGGCAGAGTAACTTGCGAGTCACTGGAGCTGCAGACCCCAAAGGTGGCCAAGTCTAGGGGTCTCCATCGGGCCACCTGCACAGCCTCTAAAAAGGTCTGTTCATAGGTGCTCAGAGACCCCACCACCTGCAGAGGGTCTTTGCTCTTGTTGGCTTTGCTCAGGGTCACCAGACACAAGGGGTCCAGGAGGCTCCCTGTTGGCCAGACCCAGTCCTTTTGGAAGACAAGGCCCCCAGTGCTGGTAGTAGACTCCTCTTCAGGGATCTTAGTTCCCAGTACAATCCCCATAGTAAACAGCAGCAGGACCCACTGAGTAAGAGGCAGATGCAGCATCATGGTGTTGAGGGACTAGGCAGGAACACGTTTATATGGTAGACACAATATCTGGAGGGGGAGGGAATGACCTTGGGGGACAGTGTAGTGCCTCACTGGGCGCCTGGACAGGTGGGTGGCAGTCCTCTCAAAGGGCTTTCTGTTCCTGGCAGGCCACCTATCTCTTAACAGAGCTGGGCCTGTGATCACACTGGCCGGAGGTGTCCTTGAGGATCCCTCCTAGAACTGTAAACTGGGGGTGGGGCAGGTGTCCCAGGCAGATCTCTTGCCTTGGAGTTCATTATCATAGGCTGGACAGGCATGGCTGGAGGACAGAGTGCCAGTACTGCTCACAAATCCATCTCTGGGGCCCAAGTTCAGGCCCCCAGGCCTGAACACCCAAGAGAACATCCCAGGAACCTTCCTAGTTTGGGATAGTCTGAAAGGTCCCCATTGTCCTATGAGCCATCTGCAGTGCTCCTAGCAGTTGTCAATTCCTCCCTGAGGATTCAGACTTCCACCCACCATAACCCATAGCCACACATCAGTCCACTGCAGACATGGGGAGGCTGTTTACTGGGCTCCAGGAACAGTACAAAATACAAAAGCTTGCAATGTCTCCATGGGAAAATAGGGAAAACAGAAAACCAGACTCACAAGGGGGGGCATTTTTCAGTTGGTTGGGGGAGGAGGGGGAATGTTCCCAGGGCCTTCGGTGGGGAGTGGAGGCCTCATCATGGGAGGCATGGGAGTTGGAGGGTGCACCCCAGGATTTGAGGGGTGAACCCCAGGAGGCTGAGGGTGTACTCCAGGAGCAGCAGGGTGAACCCCAGGAGGTTGAGGGTGTACCCCAGGTGCCTGTGGGTGAATCCCAGGGGCTTGTGGGTGCACACCAGGAGCCTGGGGGTGAACTGCAGGAGCAGGATGCACCCCAGGGGCCTGGGGGTGAACTCCAGCTGATGGAGGAGGGTGGACCCCTGGGGCTGGTGGATGGACTCCTGGG